ATCAATATCGAAAAGGATTTAGCCATGTCCGTCTGTCCGTATGAACTATAAGAGATGCAAAGTTCAGATTAAGCATGAAGATTCTTGAGCCACGCCAACTCTAACGCCCATCTTTAGATGCCAGCGCATCTTATAGTGGTACTATTATCAGGCCACACCCACCTATACGCCCACCAAGCTCGCATTTTCTAGAAAATCTGATATCTCGGTAACTAAACGTGATAGAAAGTTGCGATTAAGCAGGTTTTTATGATAGTCCCAAAGCGAATTGTTTTTTCCGATCCAGCCACGCCCACTCTAACGCCTACAAAACCCGGAAATCGAAAAATGCAAAAAACTCGGAACCTATAAGAGCTAGAAAAGTTGGCTTAAGAACACGTTTTTTAGAGATGTCACTGCAGCTTGTGACGAGTTCTCATTCGGCCACGCTCACTCTAACGCCCACAAGCGGAAAACTGTGGCATCTATAATATTATTATGAATGCCTTCGTTTGACCTTGTATAACTTATTTCTGTTAATATCTATCGATTTACCAAAGATTTATTAAAGTGGAACATTATTATAAAAAAAATTTAGGTTATAAGGCCTTAAATGGCTTGTGACGTCAGTATCAGTTACTCAACATGCTTCTGACAATAGGTGGCGCCTTGTGAATTTCCACTAGCAAAATAAATATTTTAAAATTGTGTAAAACAGTAACGGGTATCTTATAGTCGCGACACTCGACTATAGCGTCTCCTCTTGTTTTTTATCTGCTTGTGGGCTTAAAGTTCTTTTTATTTGCACATATTTATCGATTCCTGTTTGTATTAATTATCCGGTAACATTTTTTGTATTTCTGGGTTGGGTAGGGGTTAGCTTGTCAGTAAAAGCTTAAGAAACAGAAACTGTAGTTGTTGTCGTCGTTAGTGTCGAAGTCACCGAGCCCATTTTGCTGGTCGTTGTTGTTAAAAGCATATCGTTGGTTATGATAAAGGGTTCTGGGGAGGGGCATTGGGTACTCCCTGTCTGTTTTTGTGATGTGCCGCTTGGATATAATAAGCCTGTAGAAAGCGAGCGTGCTCTATCCGTATTCGCTTGCAGTGGTGCAGTTGTTGTTAACTCTTCCGCTATTATGAAGAAGTAAGCGTTATTTCTGATTGACGAGAGCCGACGTTCGTCTTGTTGTTGCTGCCGAGTCTTGCTCATTATGGCTATTCGTTACAGAGCTTACGCTCCTACACGTTGTCTTTAATTGTAACAATCAGTATTATAACTTATCTTAATAATTGGAACACTTAGTATTTGATTATTTTTAAAGGTAACCTGAGCACAAGTACCTATACGTACACTCTGAGTGTGTTTAATCTATACTGTTGGACGTTGGATTTTCAGGATGGAGTCAAAAAGGGCTATTAATCCGCTTTTCATCTGCTCGCGGTTCCATCTTCCTCCCACTTCTCTAGAAATCCTAAGTGCTGGCGCGACTCCGGCTGGTGACGCTTCCGGTGCACCTCCAGGTTGCTTTTCGATGTCGATTCTCGAGGAAATCTTAATGCACCATTTCCCCGCAGATGTTTAATTTTCACTTAATTTTTCAGTTTTCTTGGTTTTTAAGAGCTCTAAGATCTAAAGCTATAATCACACATCGATAGTCAATTTTCCATTAAATACAGTAAATAATAAATAATAATAATAAAAAAGAAGATATACGAATAAGAAATATAGTTAGTACGTAAAATCTGGAGAGAGAATTAAAACTGCACAAAGTTATACATGCTTCTTTATGAAGATATTACATAAGCTTAAAAAATACCTTCTATTGTGATATTTAGTGTTTAACCCAACCCTTAGATTGTGCATGTGCCTATAAATTAAAGCTATTGTTGTATTTTTAATAAATTAAAACCAACTGTTTTTGCTATAATCGTTTTTGTATAAGCTTTTAATTCTGAAATTAAGTT